AATTTATTCCCCACCTTCTGTTTCTGTCCAACATTGCTTTCAACATCACTGAGAAACAACAGGCCAATATAGAAATCACAATAGCGTAGCACACAGAACCAAGAAGTAACCCTAAAGCATCACCTTTCTATACCATGCAGAATAAAAGCCTAACAGCACATCCAGTAGAAACAGAAGAAACCATCAGTTAGCAAATGTCCTCATGGGTTGTTTTACAGGGTCTCCTAAACACCAGAAGAGTCTTTGCCAGCATACTCCTGCTGTTCAAAAGAAGAAGAATTTCTGGTAGAAGTCAAATGAACCGGCCTGTTTGAAGAGACAGAAAGGAAGGTCCACTTGGAAGAACTAAGCTGTTGTACAGGAAAGGCATGAATTGTATTGATGAAATGGTTGTTCAGCTATGACCAATTCTAGTAAAATACATTAGAAAAAGAAACTCAGACCAGTGTTCCATCAGACTTCTCTGCTAAGGGTAGTATGAGACACTGGTACATGTATAACTGGCTCACACAAGAGGCTCCTCTGTTAGTGGGACATGTCTTGTGCCAGCAAACTGTGCCACCCTCAGTGGAGCAAGCTGTTTGGATAGATGCAAGAAAAAACAATATACAGGAAAAGTCTGACTGCAGTGACAGGAATCTTTCCTTTTCACACCCATAGTTCATGAAATAGTTTTAGCACCATCAGTGCCTCAGCAGCATCACTGAACAGCAATATATATACACATACATACATACATATACATACACACACAAAGAAAACTAAAGTACAGAGACAGGATTTTAAAATATATACCGTTTACAGTGCTTGAATATAGTGATCAATATCATCAGAGGGACAGAAAAAAAGTAATTAAGTCACTAATACTAGAAAGAAACTAGGTCCAGGAGAAAAATCTCATATAGAATGTTCCCAACTGATTCTGCTGCTGCGATTGAGGTACGAGAACTGAGTAGAAGGCACAGTTCCTCCCCTCTGGGCATGCTCAGTCTGAGCTCTGGGTTTAGGGAGAAGGGATTTCAGTGCCAAACAAATTGCTCTAGAAGTTTCTGAATCCCAGCTTTGGCCACATGGGCGGCGCACAGCTAGGCATGCCTGGTTGGGGCCAGAGGAGCGTAGCCAGCCTCCTTGCCTCGCCTGGTTGGGCTTACCTGCTGGTGGTGAGCGGTGCAGTGAGTGTTCGGTGGAACCCCAAGATGGAGGCTTCTCCCCATGCCATTCATGCTCGCTGCCTGCCCGGGCCACTATCTAAGCCCAGCCTCATCGCCAGTGCTGCTGCGTATGCCGCCCTTGTCCTCCCTGCCAACAGGCAACCAGGGTGAGGTGGCCTGGGGGGGGGGTGTTGGAGCCATGGCTTGGGAAGGGGCCCATAAAATCTGTGGTAGCTATGCGCCTGCAGCTCCCGCTGGTTCAACACCTATGCCCATTTTTCAAAAATGATCCATTTTCTGATCACATCCAAGTCAGATTACTATAAGGTGCTCTATGTGGGCCTGGCTGCCTTTGAAAACAGTTCAGAAACTTCAACTAGTCCAAATTGCAGTGGCCAGGCTACTGTCAGAGGTTGGTTACAGGGCTTCTATTATGTTTGTGATGAAATATCTTCATCGGCTACCCATCTATTTCTGGGCACAATTCAGAGTGCTGGTTCTTATCTTTAAGGACCTAAAGAGCTTAGGGCCAGGGATGCTGAAGAACCATCTCCTCCCACACTGTCCAGCCCACCAGTTTAAGTCTTCCTCTAAAGCTCTGCTCTCTGTGCCCCCACCTTCAGAGGTGAGGCAGGTGGGTACTAGAGACAGGGCATTTTCTGTGGTGGCACCTCACCTTTAGAATGTCCCCCCCCCTTGAGGCTTGCCTGCCACCTATTTTACTTGCTCTTAGGTGACTTTTAATTAGGAGTTTATCTTATCAACTTTTTAATGGCCTGTTCTGTTTTATGCATTTTATGTGTTTAGGCTGCTTGTGTATTTTTAAATGGCTTGTGTCTTATGCTATGGTTTTTAATTGTAAACTGCCTTGAGCAGGATTATGAAGAGGAGGCACAGAAATATTCTAAATAAATAAACAAACCATTAATAGTTTTATTGTTGTTCAATAACTATGGCTCAAAAATCTGTTTAGTGATGTTGAAAAATTAAACAATTAACAACTCAGCTCAGGTTGTATCTAATAAACTGCTGGTTCCAGATACGCATCCCTATTTACATTAAAATGTAGCCATCTCCAAACAGAATTCCCATGACTGCATAAAATAAGAAACCTT